ATAATATGCGGCGAAAATTTGATTGGCGAGCGAGGTTGTCTGCAGAAAATCGGTATATTTGCCCGTATGCGGCAGCGAGCATGGGGCATCTGAATGCTGTAAATCTGCAGTGAGCATGGCCAATCGTAACTACTTGTCATGTTGTGACGACGTTTGATGAATGCATAAAGGGTGGCGATGTTTGTGTTGTGTAATGTCACGTCCATGCGCGTCGATGCATGCAGAACGTGTACGTGGATGTTGGGAAGCACACAGCGGCTGAGGTCTACTTTTGCGAAGGTGTCAATGTCGGTGTCATAATGAGCAAGGCGTCATTCCATTCGTAGGTCTCATAAACTGCACGTGATGAACGCACTTGCGTGGTTTCAAGTCGTGAAATGGAGTATTGGGCGAGAGAGGTCAAAAAATATACGAAAAAAAAAAAATTCTAACCCCGTATGCAGCGAATGCATTCATTAATCAAGATGTAGGACTCATTAGACGAATCGTGATATAATATATATATAATGTGGTCAGAATTTTTTGGGCAAAGTTCTTGTCGCGACGCGCACACTCTTGCGTGTGCGTCAGGTCAGACCCGACAAGACTTTGCGACCGACGCACGAGGGGATACCATCCCCCGTGTGCACAACCATTCATGAAACAAACTATGCCCCCGGGTGATGGATCTTTGGCTGATGGTCCTTCATCCTCGGACGCATGTGGTCCGCTGGATTTTGCTTGCGAACACACCGGCGGACCGCTCACGCCGATTCTGCACATGGCGTCTCCCGCTTTTCACGCCAACGCTGCTTCACCACCGTCGGTGGTGGAAAACGACGCTGATGGACATGGAAACACCACCATTGTGTGTGGAGGATGATACACAGGTATGAATAGTTTTTTGCAGAACATCGGCTTGGGCGGGCATACCGCTTCCACGGAGCTATGGAACCACTCTTCTTGATGCAGAGCATTGGCTTGGGTGGGCTCATTCATTCCAAGGAATATGTAAATACGATACTTCCGTCGTTATGGACCCAACGTGGCGATGCTGACGTCTGAGTCCGCCCCCCGATGTTGGTTTGGCGGAATATCGCGTCTTTCTGTGTGCTCCCGTACAATAATTCAGTCTTAGTGGACCAGTGGTCGTCATACCTCCTCCGGCTGTCCCTTCTGAGGAGCCAGACGGCTGTCTCTCGTCCACCGTTGGTACCACTGTGCGACTGCCCATATATTCGTTTCACTCGAACACTATGTACGAGAACTAACAGCTGTCGGAGAACGAGTGTGTGGCCGCATATACATTTTCGATGTTGGGGGTCCTCGACGGTTTTGCCTGAAACATACTCGAAGACTCCGCGGAAATACGTGCCCATGTTGTTGTGGCCTTGGGTTCTGCGAGCATGCCACGCTACCACGTCTTTCCACCTGGACACCGCTCGGACTTCACATATGTTGGGGCGTTCTTTTCTGGTGGATTGATATGCATGTGTCTGTCCGTTGATGGACTCGGCAATGTCTAATTTGCCGAGCCCGCACGTATGACTTCCAAGCAAACGTATCGATGGCCTACGCTCACTCTGATCCTCCCTANCACATATGTTGGGGCGTTCTTTTCTGGTGGATTGATATGCATGTGTCTGTCCGTTGATGGACTCGGCAATGTCTAATTTGCCGAGCCCGCACGTATGACTTCCAAGCAAACGTATCGATGGCCTACGCTCACTCTGATCCTCCCTAATGAGCCGGGAATCAGTGAGCGCCGATTACTTTTAGACCGTTGCCTGTCATGTACTTGCCTTCCTGCTCTCTTATTCTCCGAAGTCCTCGTCCGAGTGCGCGAACATTTTGCGATTGGCAGGAACATCCGCATTTTCGCGGTTGACGTGACCGAAGCTGAGGGCGTGCAAGACGAAGGCGAAGAGCGGCTGGCGAGCAAACTTCTCTGCTATCAATAGCCGTTGTTTTCTGAAACGATGGGCCGGACTTAAGGCGACTTTCAACGCCTGTCTGTTGTTTCAAGTCGTTGATTCTCGGGACAGTTCAATATATCATGGTATATTTAATGCTTTATTTGCTTTGCCGCCTTCAAATCATGGCGTTTGCTTCCCTCTCTACTGATGATATTTGGCGCTTTGTCTCGTTCATGGTGTCACGAGTCGCTAGCACGCAAGGTAGAGGTCTCAAGTGTGTGAGCAGTAAGTACGTAACAGCTCCCGTTCATGGCACGGTTTATGGTGCGAGGAAGGGGATTATTGCTCCTGACAGGTGTTCGCTCATGCAACGATGCACACACACTGACCTCTTCTTGTGCAATCGAACGACTGTACCGAGTGCGATGAGTAGTGAAGATACTCGTACCAGCTGTAGTAGCCGATGTAGTGTCGGAGCAAAGGCCTCCTTGTAGATGTTATGGTCTTATTCTTTTAGTTCAAGCTCAGGATGGTAGCTTGGTTGTGAGCAGAGGAGGGCGAGTCCAGACAGCTCTTGCAGAGGCTCCGCTGAATGCGGCCAACTACCTCTGTGGGGTTGTACTTGCGGGACAATGAATGCCCCGAACCGTAACAAGGGTACGCTATGATACGCTGGCGCGTGTTTGAGTGGTGTGAGTTGGTTTATTTTAGCGCCGGAATAGGCGTTGTCGTTTCCACATTTGCTACGACCGGACCCACCGCGATCAGTTCCCGCTGGAACCTTGTTGTGTGCATTGTGATTTTCAGTAGTCATAACATGTGTGGTGTGGGGAAGGTTTGATGGTTTCAAGTACTTGTCGGGGATAACTATTTCTCCGACATTAGTTGTTTTTGTTTTTTTTTGTGTACTTGTCGGGGACAACTATTTTATTTTCTCCGACACTAGTTGCTTTTGTTTTTTTGTGTGTTTCATGTGGAAAGTCGCATCTTCGATCTCTATCTAAATCTGAGTATTGTTGAGGATAGAGTATCTGCATATACGACTTCCCAGGGTGGGCTAATGTAATGGAGCAACTAGTGTATGAACCTTGTACGATTATGACATCATGACATGGATATTGTGTATTTTCGTTGGTGGCTGTGACAAATATTATAGCCCCCGTCCTGACTCTTGACTTGTGAGCGCGGAACGCGGGCGAGGTATGAAGAGGAAAAACATGAAATCCAACAACTGTGAGTGAGCCATGCCCCCGTCCTGACTCTTGACTTGTGAGCGCGGAACGTGGGCTAGGTATGAAGAGGATAAAACATGAAATCCAACAACAATTGTGAGTGAGCCAGCAAGGAGCAGCGAACCTGTGCGAAGGTGTACCGATTCAGGTAAAAGTCAATCGACGGATACCCTGCGAATCGGGTCCTCCTTAACACTCTCCACCCACAGCACAGAATTTACCCCCAACTGGGAACCTCTTGTGGCCAGGATGGGTAATTCGATGGAAGTGTCACAAGGTTCTTTGTAGGATCGACTCCAAGAGGTGTTCTCAGGACTGACACACATTGTGTCCTTGGGAAAATATCCAAGTCAGGAGAAAAAGTGTGCACCCAAGGAGATTCGAACCAGTATGCAGCTGACGCCATATGCGAAGGTGTACCGATTCAGGTAAAAAAAGTCAATCGACGGATACCATGCGAATCGGGTCCTCCTTTACACCTGCTCCCTTCCCTTTTATTTCCGTGTTCCTCCACAACAAATGAGCATAAATAAATGTTATCAAACTCGTTCACACCCCTCTTAGATTTATGCTTGGGGTTGGAGCGAGGGCAGCCAACACCGAACCAGCAAATTCATCTTCCAGACGATACGAAGTCTCAACTAGCATGCCGTCGAAGCTAAAAAAAAAATGTCGGTCGAAAAGCAGTCATCACACCATCAGGGCCACCAAGCAAGGTAGTTCCATGACTCACCACCAATATCGGCGGTGGGAGAAAAGAGGTTGAAGCCCAAGTTAGGAGAAAACAATACATTCTCCAACTACACGGAAAACCCCCTGTCAGCAGTCACAAACACCAACTAGGGTAGAAAGTGATTTTCCAACACTCGAAATGCCTTGCTGGGGAAACCTGCATGCCTCGCCATGGTTTTTAGGCAGTCTTTCTTCAGGCAGTCGAACAACCACGCCACTCTGCCTGGCACAGCACACACACGCTGTTTTCCTTGTCTATCATGGGGGTCAAATGCAATCCAATGTCTGCGATCGGAATGTCTACATATATATAGCTCAGACACAAAAAAAGCCTCATACAGATTACTGTTGTTGTGGGCAGTCAACAATAATGTTAGATATACTCGTAGCATAGTAAAGATGGTTGAATATGGGACATGGATCTACGGAGATTGCAATTGGTAGATTGCGGAGGAACAGGGAGTTTCTACTTGGTTTCCTCGGAGATTCGATGAGTGATCTGAATTGCGTGACGGACAAGTGTTCTCTGCTGTCCCCCCTCCATGATAATACAAGACTGTCTCATCTCGGCCCTCACTGGCCGAGCTGCCTTTCTCCACAAACCTTCACTTCGGCCTACCTGGTTTACCCAACACTCTAGCGTTTGAACGACTTTGTCGAGGGTGATTGGGTAAGAGCCAACCAGAGATTGGTAGCACCGATGGGCAGCCGCATGCGCGGCTGACGACACCCAACCAGACGAAGACGCCACCAACGGCGAGGGCCTACACGGCAGCAGCACCCCCAAGACCTACAGCAGCGCCATCGTTAGCTGCGCCCCGCCGTCTACTGGGGTTGTAGGCATGAACAGGCACGTGATGGCTTGTCAGTTTTGGACTGCTGTCGTTATGTGTACACCCATGCGGTGATGCGGTACGCCTACATAGTGCCGTCAGATTCTAAACGCGGCATTACGCCGTGCGGTACTGCCGTCAAACGCCAACACTAACTCCACCTCCACCTCCACCCGGCACTGCCGTCAAACACAAATCTCTCCTACTCTTTCTCTAGTATAATCGCGGCAATACGCCGCGCGGTAATGCCGACAAACTCGAACTCTTACTTAATCAAAACGCGACCATACGTCGTGCGGTACTGCCGTCAAACTCCACCGCTCGGTCAAAGGCCGACTACCTGTAGCAAATGGGTAGACCCAACCTAGGTTACCAGTAATCCTCAATAACTGATGCCAGTTTCTAAACTGATGATACGATGTGTGTGTGTAGGCATGGTATTAGAAATAGTATTGTGCGTAATGTAATGCAGTAATTGGCGAGGTTTTGTGCTTTGTCTTCCTGACAGCCGTGCTGAGACCAACTTTCTCTCCCCGGCAATAGCGTGATCAACTTTTTATCTGGGCTCTTTTTGGTAGCTACTTTTTGAGCAGCAGGTTTAGCCTGATCAAAATGCGTGATCAACGTTTCATCTGGACTCTCTTTGGGTAGCAGCTTTAACCTGATCAAAAAATTCCCATGTCTTGGTTTTGTCAGCTAGTACCAGAGACGTGTGAAGTCTCAGCGACGTGCAACATTGATTGGTACCTCCACCGTGTTGCAGACTAAAAATCCACAATGTTGACGAAATAAATGCTGATTTCCGAGTATTGTTATACATGTCTTGAGGTTGCTATTTGTTGTGAGATTGCGGTTCCAAGTTGTTAAGGTTTTGACTCAGGATTGATTACCCTATGGTCACAGCAGGAGCAGCGGCTGTATTATTATTTTGTGATCGAGGACTGATCAACCTCCGTTTCAGGATGATATTCAGCTATTTATTGAGTGGCAATGTCGCAGTGATCGGTAATTTCAGACAAACCATTCCACAAGTAGGGTCCGACGACTTGAAAGTGTGATTCATGTCACTTTTTCTGATGCAGTCACTATTGCGCAGAACCGGAGGGAATGTTGGTAGTATGTGATTCTCCTCAGTATTGCTGGTTTGTTCGGAACTTATCTGCCGCCATCTTCCCCTCCAAACGCGCGACCTGCCCTGCACCACCGCCGAGTCAATCCTCCGGGAGCGACAATTGTTATTCCCCCACTCCAGGCGGACGCAAACATCCAAGCTTGAGTCGCGGCCAGCCGGAAAAGATGAAAGGCAAAAGGCGACCGCGGCGAAGGCGTGCGAAATATCCGCTGGGGGGGGAGAAACAATGGCTCTGGCAATGGGTTAAGCGCTGGACGTTGATGCGCCGGCAAATGTAGAGGTTTCGAATGTTTTGTTTTGATGCAATGGATTGGATTTTGGCCTTGGTATTGGATTGGTTTCTATCATTCGGATTGGCGAACGTTGTTTCGGCATTGGGTTTGATTTGGTTTTGGTGTTTCGTCGGGATTTATTTGCAGCAGGATTGTTTTTCTTGGGTTTCGAACGAATGTTGAATTTTGTTGTTTTGGCCTGTGGTTCAGATCTCCGACCCCTTCTAAAATCAGGGGGGCGGATCTCCCAGAGCAGGGGGAACGTTGTTCTTTCGGCAGGAATTGTAGCTGGCGCGAAGTTTCTAGAGAGAAACAATACAGTAGGAAAAATACTCGCGTATTTTCTGCTCAAATGATCTCAACGCTGAACGAATGTTTGGGAATGTTGTTTGATCGGAAAAGTGCGAAGAGTAGAGGATCCATGCCCAGAAGAAGCGTTCTACCTGCGAAGTGGGCATGAAACGTGTATGTTTGTTCTATGCTAAAGTTTGTTTTGGCTTGGTAGGATTCGTAGTCGGATAGATGTAATCAGACGCAGAACGAAGAAGGCGATTTTCTACGAATTGATCCATGTTTGGAAAGTGAATGAAGAGGAGTTCCACAGATAGGTTTGGTTCAATGGACTGTTCAATGCTTTGAGTTGTGCGGAGGACATAAGTACTTTGCGGGTGTCGTTGCGGCGAAGTGCTGAGAAATGATGGAGCAGTACAAGAGCGCTTTGCAGAGAAGGAATATCGGCGATGAGACAAGACGTTGTGGGTTCAGGAACATTTGCATAATCGAGTTCTTGGTTGTTTGTTTGTCATGGAGGAGTAGGATCCACGTTTTGGGTCGTAAATGGAATNTTTGGAAAGTGAATGAAGAGGAGTTCCACAGATAGGTTTGGTTCAATGGACTGTTCAATGCTTTGAGTTGTGCGGAGGACATAAGTACTTTGCGGGTGTCGTTGCGGCGAAGTGCTGAGAAATGATGGAGCAGTACAAGAGCGCTTTGCAGAGAAGGAATATCGGCGATGAGACAAGACGTTGTGGGTTCAGGAACATTTGCATAATCGAGTTCTTGGTTGTTTGTTTGTCATGGAGGAGTAGGATCCACGTTTTGGGTCGTAAATGGAATAATATTGACTTGCCGTATCATCACTACGATGCATACGAGCAGGGGGGCTGTTAGATATACTCGTAGCATAGTAAAGATGGTTGAATATAGGACATGGATCTACGGAGATTGCAATTGGTAGATTGCGGAGGAACAGGGAGTTTCTACTTGGTTTCCTCGGAGATTCGATGAGTGATCTGAATTGCGTGACGGACAAGTGTTCTCTGCTGTCCCCTCTCCCTGATAATACAAGACTGTCTCATCTCGGCCCTCACTGGCCGAGCTGCCTTTCTCCACAAACCTTCAAGCTTCGGCCTACCCGCTTCACCCAACAAACAAATTGTGACCACGACGGATGCGAACACGTCCGTCCCGTCAAAAACACAAGCTTTGGGAACGGTGAAAGGACTCCTGCCCAACTTTTCTCCTGTGTCAAAAATGCCGGCCCCAGGAATGTATGTGTTTCCACTGGCGACACGTCCCCACCACTCACTCGATTGAGTAGATGGGGGCGGAATGGAAGACTGGCGACCTAAAGTCCCCCTATCTATTCCCGGAATGGAAAAACTTACTACCTAAAGCCCCACTAACAGTTCCATTCGAACCAAAGCCTGCAGCACCAGCAGAGGGACGATTTACAGCAGATGCATGAGGGTTCAAGCCTGAGTCTAGAAGACTACTACTCCCGACTCTCACGCGGGACATGTCAAGGCCTTGGGCACTGCTGCCCTTACCTCCTGCAGTCCTGCCAGTGGCATCTGAAGGATGCCAACCGTCGTCGGTTCCGCCGCTGGCAGCACAACCAGCAGAGGAATAGGCCTGTCCTCCATCGGCCGTTTTATTTTCGATTTAGATACACAAACTTTATTTCTATACTAATTTCAAGTAATTCCACCTTCTTATTCTCCGTCATACAAGCAAAACGGCCGATGGAGGACAGGCCTAGCAGAGGAACGACATACATTCATACCTGGTACAACAAATGCACGAAGGTTCAAGCCTGAGTCTGCAAGACTACTACTCCCAACCCACANACTCCCGACTCTCACGCGGGACATGTCAAGGCCTTGGGCACTGCTGCCCTTACCTCCTGCAGTCCTGCCAGTGGCATCTGAAGGATGCCAACCGTCGTCGGTTCCGCCGCTGGCAGCACAACCAGCAGAGGAATAGGCCTGTCCTCCATCGGCCGTTTTATTTTCGATTTAGATACACAAACTTTATTTCTATACTAATTTCAAGTAATTCCACCTTCTTATTCTCCGTCATACAAGCAAAACGGCCGATGGAGGACAGGCCTAGCAGAGGAACGACATACATTCATACCTGGTACAACAAATGCACGAAGGTTCAAGCCTGAGTCTGCAAGACTACTACTCCCAACCCACATGCTGGACATGTCAAGGCCTTGGGCACTACTGCCCTTACCTTCCGCAGTCCTGCCGATGACATCTGATTGATGCGCACCAGCGTACTCTGTTCCGCCGCTTCCCTTCGCAGCAGCAAATGAAACAGAGGACTCCTCCTGCGCTCCCCGTCGCCCAACAAGCGATGTGACTACACTTGTAAGTGGGGACAACTGCGTCTCTATGGAAACAATCTTCTCACCAACATACTGTGAACCACCCGGAGGTGGTTCATACTCCCCAGAAACATTCATGACTTGACAAGTTGATCAGGCCTCTCCCGTGTAGTCTTCTCGCCGCCGTGCAGTCCAAAGGAGATGCAGTTGTTTGCGGCCTACGCCACTTGTTTATCGGGTGAGACTGTTTTGGTGAT